GCTTTTGACTGCCGCGCAAGACAGTTTAAATTTAAATCTCGCATTCGCCTTTCAGACATCATTATGGAAAACTCGTACTCGTAAGCAACTGTGTTCATTCATCTTCATCTTCCTCTTGATCTCGATCGAAGGCTTCCAATAAGATCAACTGCAATAATGAAGACTTGTTCAAAAGAATCCAAGTTTGTGCGCAATGGAAACGCACTGCGAAGCCAATTGGACGCGATCAGGACGCGATCAGGTCGCGATCAGGTCGCGATCAGGGCGCGATAGGCAGCTATCGCATCTTTCTTTTTTCGCGTCAAGCAGGCTTTTTCCTTTGAGTTCAACGTCCAGCACAGCGACGTGTTCGGTTCTCCTTCTTGCATTTCACTTCCTCATTTCCACATTCGACCCGTGAAAACGTATGCAACACCACAGAGTTTTTCACCTATAACTGTTGACCGCGTGCACCGAATGGGTTCATCAACATCATCGGTTTAGTATTCCATGTATATATTAGCACCCGTGGGGTCAGTGCATGCGATTGGACGCATCTCCCCAGCACGAATGGGGAAAATTGCACGGCTCAGCAACTTTTGTCACCGAGAAGTATAAATCCAATGAATACGTGAGCATCATTTCAGTCCTCAATCTTCAGCAGATTGGGGGCTGAAGCACTAACGACAGACAAGCGACGAAATACAATTTTCAGCGGGCGCCAATTGTATTTTTCCCACGCGCTGCGCTGCACATTCGACTTACTTATCTACTGTTTGAGTGGAAAAAAAATCATTCATTTTGATACTTTTTTTTAAATTTAGATCGACGTGGATATGAAACAGGCAAAGTAATAAATGGGAAACTCGAAAGTTGAAGGCAAACAACTCCGTTCTCCAGCAGTGACTCGTGATATTCGACCGTATTAGATCGCCCTGCCTTCGTCGACGATCTAATGCAGCCCAGAGAAACGAGCGGGGCTTACGAAGGGCTTGTGAAGGAGGAATAGAGGGAAACGAGACCGTTGTGTCTCGGTTTCTCCTTCGACGGAGGACAGACGGGGAAACGAAGAGCGTCGGGCGAGTCGGACCCTAAGGGCAAAGAAAAAAATGCAGGGAACAGAAAATGAAAAGGTTTCATTTCCTCCCCACGAGAATGGGATTTCTGGCCAACGCCTCATCCACACGCGAAAAAGAATTCTCCGTAGACAACGCCTGTCTGCTCTCTGTATTGATCGTTTGACTTGAAGACCTCGTCGGAGGCATTCCTTTTGCAACTGCCGATTGTGGACTGCCGACGGGATCGTCTCACCGATCGCTTTTGCTTCGAAGGGTGAGAACGCAAACTCGACGGGGTTCGAAAAGGGACCGAAAGGGGGAAGAGAGGGAATGGAGTGGCGAGAATATTTCGTGCGTTGTCCGTCCCGTAAATTAACTCGTTATCCGGTCAGATTATTGCACTCCGTTCGTTCAAATATAAAGTCAAACGTGACTCGCGTGAGACCAGAATTCGTTTTCTGATTACATTTTTAAAAATTCCACAAGAAAGGGAAACAGCAGCTGCAACTGTGAAGTTCTCATTTTGTGTGTCGACTTCATAGACGCATCTTCCGCCGAAGACAAACGGACGAACGAACGAGCCGAAGATTTAAGCCCGTCTCTTGTGCCCAAGGTCAGCAGTGAATTCTGCGGCATGTTCTCGCGGCGCGGTCGACGTACGATCGTGTTCGGTGCCGATCTTCCGATTCCTGATTTTCATGAAAGGCAGACCGAACTTCTTTTTCGTTGAGATCCTGATGGTTTCGCGTATGACCTGGCATTTCCCTCTTGCAGTCGTGCCATCGCGTGTGAATCGAGTTTAGGATATCCTTGGAGACGCGGGACAGACGAAGGAACGAAATATTCTAGACGGGCGAGTTAAAGGGCTGCATGAGCCGTCCTGCTCTCGCGTTCGTCGCTGGCTCCAACGCTCTTCTATTCTTTGTGTGACGGATGAGGATGGCATCGGGAGACTCGACTGAATGTCTGGGGTTCGGTGGTGTAGTGGTAGCACACCTGACCGGCAATCAGGAGGCCCGGGTTCAATTCCCGGCCGTTCCTTGGCTTCTTTCGTCCTCTCGTGCCTTCCATCGTCCGTCTGCCACCTCCCCTCCGTAACATTTGTTTCACGCCGATGCGATTCCTACGGGGGTTGCGGGTGTGCATCGTTGCAGGAAGGCCTGAGATTCACTTGCAAAAGGTTTAAGATTTGCCACCGATGCCGTTCTCCCAACGTTGACCATTCCCATCTGAGACGGCAAAGGAAACAAAGACGGAAACGCCTGAACGCCGCTTCTCCCCATTTCACTCAACTCAAAAGTAACGGCGGCGACGAAATGGAAGGAATAAGAAAATTATTATTTTTTTTATCGATACTTCCTGGCATTCGGGCTAGCCCGTTTCTCATTTTACTCGTTCGGTGAGTGCAGGAACTCAGAGATAGATTTTTTTCGCTTCTTCGTTTCAGTCTGTTGTGGCGTTCTCCAGGCTAGGTAGAGTCCTGCAGTAATATACGCAGGCATTTTTGCAGGCACGTATCTCCGTCGGTCGTGAGGCCGTGAAGGCGCCATTTCTGCCTTACTGTCTACGAGGATATCCTTTTTCTTTCGTGTCGGTCATGTAAGATTAGCAGAAGCAGATCCAGCGCGAAGTTTATGAATGTAACGATATGCCCTCGAGAGTCGCTTCTGCCAGCAGTGGTTTTGGCCTCCCCAGTGTCTGCCGTGGCCAGTGCCCGCCTCCAAAAAAAGCCCGGAAGAAAGTAGCACACCTACGGTCTTCGAGTGTGACCTGCAACACTGGGTAGCATCAGGATTTGCGAGAACTTTTTCACGCGCCAGACATCGTCAGGGGAAGACAATAACCTCCACATGCGATGGGAGGTCTACATCCAGCCTAGGCGAGGCCGAATGGCGTTTGCCTTCTCCACTACCAGCTCTCCTTTGGACAACTTGGAAATGGATTCGGTCCGAGAAGTTATCGGAAAGTCATGCTTCTATTCGATAGTTTCATCCGTTTGCCGAGTGAAAAGGAAATTCATATTTTTTAACCTCGCTCTCTCGAGCACAACTGCTGCAATCGCTGTATTAGGACTGAATTACCTGGAGTAGCTGATCGATTATCATGCGCACAATCCCAGAAAAGATATCATCTCACCCCATAACCAATGGCATTAAAATATATTATAGTGTACAGTTTGATGGAAGGCTTACGCTTCTATTTCGATAAAGAGGAAGGAGTGGAACCGTTAGATCCAGTCCCCGCAGTCCCAAGGGCATATCGTAAGTCTTTATCCATTTCCGCTCCGTCCAGCAAAGTGAAAGGACATGCTGACCACATACTCTTTTCGCTCTTTAGACCGCATGCGATTGTCGCCTAAGGGCTTAGAGACTCGAGGAATGGGCGGCAAGATAAACACAGGGGGAAGGACTGGAAATATTCGATAATGTAATTCGATCAGTCTCAAGGTCAAGTAATGGGGATGATCCAAATCTGCTTTTCTCAGGAAAGTAAGGGGGTGGACAATAAATTGGAATTTTTGCATTCTTTCTTTGCGTCACCAGATGGGAACATGAAAAATGAAAAATTTTTGCAAAGCAATATGAAGTCCTCTCCTTGCAAACAGGTTTTTAAATAACAGCAAATTAGCAAACATTCGATCAGAACCACGAAACAAAGAAGGTAAAATAATTTGCATAGCATAGCATACTACTGACTAAGGAGTTTTAAGGAGAGAATATCCATGTCTCGTAATGACTTCTTTAGCATTAAAAAAATGCAAAGAACATATCCGCCACTTTCTTGTATGCACTGGCGCGCACGGGTCACTTCCGCATCACTTTGTCCATCATGTCTATGGGAAATGTGGCAAGTTAAAAGTCCATGTTTCGACTAAATTCTTCAATTCTTAATTCTTCTTCAAATTCTGATTTTTTAACCCCCCCCAGGATGACCCAGAACTGTTCTTAATGATGCGTTAGTGCGTTAGGATATTTTTAAATTTCCACGTCAAAGAAATTATTTTAACTACTGTAAAAAAATATATATATATATATATACATCTTACACAGCTTTTATTTGTGTCCGGTATTTCTTGGCCATCTTGTTTTACGGTTGAAAGCCCTACATTGAAAAATCCGACCTTTATGCAAAAAATCTTTTTTTTTCACTCAAGTCGGAAAAGCTGGTTTCGAATTTTCCTTGTCGCTTTACGCAGGAAAGTAGTAAATGGCATACAGAGAAAGTCATCGTAGAATAAAAATCCTCATGATGACACGGAACATTCCGCATCGCCACCTCGGGGAATCCACCCGACACTTTCAGTTTCCGACCCCCCCCTCAATTCCACTGCGGAAACGAAGCCGAAGGCAGCATCTTCTCCCCGCTGTGAAAAGAACCCACTCCGAACCTACGCCTCCATTCGGATCATCCGGATTCCCTGTGCCCCAGCGGCCCCAAGCCGACCAGATGAAGGAAGGCACGTTAAGAATGCGAGTCGCGAGTCCGCTTTTACAGTACATTCTCTTTCAGACGAGAGGGAGCGAAAGAGGATCCCAAAATTATTCGTATTCAATATACATTTTTGCCAACATTTAAAGATGCACCGAATAATCACGTGAATTAATAGTACTCACAATATTACCGTGAGAGAACCGCATACAAATCTCAAGCATCGATGAGGACGAGTCGCAGAATGATATTCGGATTTTTACTGAAGCATTCCGAGAGGTAACACAACGTCTTCGAGCAACGAACGCAATCAAAGAATCCCCGAATGAGACAGAAAATCTAATGGGAAGACACGAAAATTTACCTCATTTATTGGAACAACCGATTCCGACAATAAAAGGACTCGGAACTTTCAGGATAATGAGCGGAAAATCCCTTCACGTAATATTAGTCGGATTCCCTTTTCCGAAAATTTGACGTAAACTGCGCTGCCCACGATTAATCGCAATTCTTCTAAATACTTTTTTTTTCACGATGAAACCGAACGACCTTCAGACGATTCGAGCAGACGTCACAGTATACTCCAAGAAAATACCCCAGGAAAACGTGCAGCCTGAGACGGAGAATCTTCAGTATCGCGAGCATTTGTTCATCCAAGAACGCTGGGACCGATTTCAGCTCCTTATAAGCGGTATGTATTTTACACATATTCAACTTGCAAGTGTGGTGTTAACGTATCATTTCGTTCCCGTGGATCAACGTCTTTTTTTCAGGGACTCGGGGAATGTTTTTACTCGACTTCAGAATCACTCTGCATTATTCGAACCGGAAAAGTCCTTGGCTGTTTCCTCCAACAGGGACTTATCGGAGTAAGCAGCAGGGTCCCATTACTCACCCGATAGTGTGACGAGATTAAAGTTGTAGCGTAGCGTAGACCCAGTCCAATCCACGAGGAAAAGCGACCGAAGACGCAGGGTCTCCCACGGGCTATGGTAACCACCGGTGGCTAGCTGCCATATCATGTCCGCGTGGCCACGCGTCGTGCAGTTGTTCGTGACAGTGCGTTGTTCCATCACACTGACCTACCCAAGTATCAAGGGATCATCCCTGGGACATCCCATTTGGATCCTACGTGGGACAAAATGACATCCCATGGATGTCATAATGAAATCGTCCCGGGATATGGAAATCCTTGGAGCATTCAGAGGACATCCCGTAAGGTCAGAAATACTCTCGTCCCATACACCAAATCCTTAGTGTGTCCATAGGACGTCCTGGACGTCCTATGGACACACTAAGGATTTGGTGTATGGGACGAGAGTATTTCTGACCTTACGGGATGTCCTCTGAATGCTCCAAGGATTTCCATATCCCGGGACGATTTCATTATGACATCCATGGGATGTCATTTTGTCCCACGTAGGATCCAAATGGGATGACCCAGGGATGATCCCTTGATATTTGGGTAGGTCCGTCGGCTAGACGGTCACCGTCGGTCGGCAAGCGAATTTTGCTCATCCCGTTAGCCTTGTACGCGATGGGCGCTGACTCCAAAAATAATCCGCTCAATGTTCCTCTCGTCGATGATTGGCGTCCATTCGCGGTTTGGGACGTTTCGGCCGCTTTCTAGAGAGAATTCACTCCTACCGGTTCGGTAACGTCCGGCTTCAGATGCATGAATGATCACATCGGCTGTTACTTTTCTCTCCTTCGGAGCGATATGGTGCAACTTTTTGGCGATAGAGTTTGCGATATTTGAACCTTCGACTTATCGCAAGGAAACTAGCTACCACGATAAACAGAAAATGCGAGGAGCAGGACGGAGCACATAAGCGATGGGCTTCTCAAGGGCATCGTCATTATCGCCATTGCACGAAAAGAGATTGCGAGCGGTTTAGGAAAGGCAACCTCTCGTGATAGGATACCGATTCGGGTGAAGAAGTCGGTCAGAAGGTAGCCGTTTTATTAAGAACCCATTTCGAGAATGGAATTCGGCGCAGGAAAGCATCTGTGAATCGAAAATTAGGGGTTGTACCGACTTTTAAAGAAGGGGGATAAAGATCCGCCTAATTACAGGCTGAAGCCTCAATAGCATTTGGAAAACGTTCTTGGGGATCATTTCTTCAAATTTCTCAAGGAAATCTCGCTCGTTGGGAAATCTCCCCATGGTATATTTAGCTTCTCCGAAGATGTCATACTCTCGAGTGATTTAGGGCTTAATTGGTGGATCAGGGGTTCGAAGGAAAGGTAGTGCATAAGTGGCTGGCTACCAGAAAGCAAGTAGTAAAAAAACGAACTTCAGTTTACGGTTCCCATAACTGTCAATGATGACAATTAAAAAAAATTATTCTCTTAAAGGGTATTCATTAAGTTCAAGATGGGGGAAAACGAAGGGATGAAGCAGCTGGTGGAAGTGATCAACAAGCTCCAAGATGCATTTTCTTGCACTTGCTCCCTCCATCTTCAACTCCCCATGATCGCCGTCGTCGGCGGACAGAGCGCAGGCAAGTCCTCCGTCATCGAGGCGATCGCCGGCAGGTAGGAAGGAAATCCCTCCACCCCTTCGCCTTCACCCACCCCTTCCCTTCATCCCATCCCTTAATTTCGACGTCTCTCCTTGGATGCTTGCAGGGACTTTCTGCCTCGGGGTACCGGGACCGTCACCAGACGTCCGCTCATTCTTCAAATGATACCAGATGCGAAAGGTCGGTTTTTCAAGTGCATAATACTTTCTCTTCTTTTCATGACCAGCACCAGGATCGATTCTGCCGAGTCGTTAACCGGATTTTCATACATCATACACTTTAAGGCAGGGTTTTCCAACCCTTGGGTCGCGACCCCATTTGGCGTCACCGAGATCATATTTGGGGTCGCGAATCGGCAGCTAGTTACTAATTATCGGCAACTAATGTCGACCTTCAGCCAGTGCTTGAGGTCCTGAATGGTATGATCGTGATTTTTGGGGTCGCGCGTGAAAAAGCTAGGGAAGCCCTGCTTTAAGGCATGCTGCGCAAATGGAAATAGAGACCGTATGATACTTAATCTTCTTAAAGCGTTAATATAAGGTTTCCATCTATATTCCTGGAGTGCTGACGCATCTTATGATGATTTTCTATCAGTTAAGGTCGACGATAGTATGGTGTCATAAAAAAAAGCGAATAACTTGTTGCTTTAGAGAACGACGGTTGATTTTGGCAATGTACACAGTCCTTTCATAGCTTGTCCTGTCGGTCCACAGACAAATACCAGACAAAAATGTCTGGTATTCGTCTGGGGGGCAACAGAATGATTTCGCAAAGCAGAATTCACTTTCCCAGTTCTCGTCCGGAGCAAAATGGCTTCATTTGACCATATAATTCGTATAGAATACGTGGAGTTTCTCCACCAGCCTGAGACGAAGTTCACCGATTTCGAAGCAGTGAGGAAAGAGATCCAGGAGGCAACCGACAAAGAAGTGCCAGACAAGGCCATCTCCAGTCGGCCCATCAACCTCAGACTCTATTCCCCTTACGGTGAAACAGATTTCACGGTTCATTAAACATTGCTGGATGAATGTCGAGTGTTGAGACGTGAATTTCGTTGATAGTTCTTCAGCTCACTCTGGTCGATTTGCCCGGTTTAACCAAGAACCCTGTCAACGACCAGCCTACTAACATCGAACAACTTGTGAGTAGGCATTTCATTTTACTTCCTTCCGTTTCACGCACGATCTGGTCGCACATCAATTAATTAAGATATGCGCGATGATGCCGATGTGACAGTTTGTCCAATGGCATAGTGGATCGCGTTCATAACTTTCTTTCTCCCCGTGGGAGTCTGCGTTTGAACCGGTGGGTATGCGGGCGCCCGACCCTTTCACGGTCGTGCTCATTTACATTGCAAGATTTGATTCTAGGATGGACTTCCGCAGCATTAAGCTTCACCAAGTTGTTTCATTCTGTCAGCTCCGTGACATGATCTTGGAGTACATCGAGCCCGAGAACACGCTGATCTTAGCTGTGATCCCCGCCCCAGAGGACCTGGCAAATTCCGACGCACTCAAACTCGCTCGCCAAGTCGACCCCGCTGGTATAGTTGAAAACGTTTGTGGTGCCAATGCATTAGGAATGTAGGTTACTATATGGGTTTGGCAAACTCTCGAATCCAAACAATCCCCAATCGGAATGTTCCGAAACGGCATCGTTCAGCATCGTTCATCGTTCTACGTGTGCTCCAATTTGCGTTAAGCACGCATGGTGAAGGGCAAACAGCGTTCATTTGAAAGAGGGTAAAATGATCACAGTAAGGTTTTTGCAAGGGACTCTGCATTGGCTGGAGAGGATAGAAGGAGAAGGGAGGGGGAGAGATCTTTCGATTTTTCACTCTTAGAAGAGAGAATCGTGGCCCAGAAGCACTTCTTTTTACATTCTCGCCTCACGTCTTCCCCACTTGCTCTCGTGTAGGAATAACTACATAAAAAGTAGGGTTGTACCATTGGTCTCGTTTGGCCGATGACCGATTATTATCTCATACCTATGGCCGGTGCTGGTGCCGTTGCCGATGCCGATGCCTATGCCGATGCCTATGCTTATTAGGGAAACAGCGACGAAAAATTTTATCAAATACAGTAGAACTCGGTTATAACGTCATCGAAGGGACCAGGGAAAAATCGTCGTTATAACCGAGGTTGCCTGTATCGACATTCCCTTTTCCTGTTTTCAAAATAGATGCTATATAACAGGGGTGTCAAACATACGGCCCGCGGAGGTGGTTCATGTGGCCTTGTGTTTTAGAAATTTCTGCTTTGATAGACTGTCGCCACAAATTTCAGTGGAAAATTATGGGTGCGGCCCGCAGGCATATGCACGGTAGGGAATGCGGCCCTCAGACCGATTTGAGTTTGACACCCCTGCTATATAACGTTACAACTCTAGTGCACATCGGTAATGCTACACGAGCTTCAGTTTCAGGATTGACCCACTAATCGTAATGTTCCCACTTCTTTAGACCTTGAACTACTTCATACTTTAGCAAGGCCTCGTCGACGTCATCTCGACAGATCTACGAAGTTTCTTGTTTTGTGACATGTTCTCGTAAGCACGGATGAAGCTGTCACGATTTTCCCAAATTGTGTTTGCCTCTTTCGCTTTCCACTGGCCATGTTGTCAACGAGAAATGTAATGGCGACTGAAGATAAGATGATCTTGTTAGTTACTAGGGATAATCCCTCCCTCACCGTCCTGTCACACGCTCTGACTCTCAAGGAATGCCGATTCCAGAAAAGATACGTTATGGCTCGCCAACGTTCATTTTTCCTATTGTGGGAACTAACGTGCCTCATGGGCTCTACGCCGGGACCTGGCGCGTTTCGTCGTTATAACCGAGGTTTCGTTATAACCGAGTTTGACTGTATTTATTCAAATAGACCTATTAGGAGCCATTTAAAAAATTTATGTTTTAAGGGCTGTTGCGCTGGGTGTTTCGAAAGCATCAAAGTATCCACCTGAAATATCGATAGTGCATCGATGCACCCGGGGTGGGGGGTGGGAAGAGGTTCCGGTGGATTTCAGTCTTTCTCGCTGCGTTCGGACAGAGGTTTCACTTCTGTCGTTTCTTGCCTCGATCGAGGAGCGGATCTCTATCCGTCTTTCATAAACTCTCGCTTGTGATTGGGGGATGGGGGGGGGGGGGTATGACCTTCGCGAGGGGTAAAATAGCCTACCATGCCTCCTAAAAACGACAGTGACATTTCATTCATCGATGGCATCGGAACAACCCTCATTTTTCCTATTGCCGTTGAGAATCAGTTCACGCCCGTTCACGTATTTTTTTCTTCGTTCTGCACGTTCTTCTTTGGACATCAGCACCGGCCGATGGCACCGATGGTGCCATACTGGCGGCCGATACCGGTGGTTGCCGATACATCGATACAACCCTATTAAAAAAACCGCAAGGTTCCATTTTTTCAGTCGAAAGAAAATAATTTATTCCTCTTGTAAATACGCAAGGAAAAATCCTAGGCTTTCACGATCAAACCTGGTTATGTCGTGATGCACTTAATGTTTCGCATGAGAACCTCATAGATATCCTCATGACTTGAGATTACCTGAACATGCGAAAAAACTTACGCCAAAAAGAATATAAAAACGTAAATAGTGGAAGAGCATCTTATTTAGCAAATCAAGAGTTATGACTTCATGAGTTAAGGAACGATAACGATGATAAATGGTGCCGTGATACAGACCAGGAGGCTCTACATTGATCGCAGGTGAGAGAACGATCGGGGTGCTGACGAAGCTGGACCTCATGGATCGAGGCACAGATGCACGGGAAGTTTTGGAGAATAAAATCATCCCTTTGAAGCGAGGATACGTTGGAGTGGTGAACAGATCACAGGCAGACATCACCGGAGGGAAAAGCATGAAGGCCGCCAGGGAAGCAGAGGAAGCCTTCTTCAAGGAGAATTACAAGTCTGTCCGCTGCCATATTGTGGCTGATTTCAAAACGGCAGTTCAGATGCAATTCGGTTTTAGCAACAGGCTTCGGTCTGACTGAAGTTTCACCGTGCTCTTGTCGACTTCTACCATAAGGAAATCTCAACTGGAATTGCAACTGAATTAAAACTGGACTTGAACTGCTTCCGAACTGCAATTTTGTAATCACCCTTTGTCGTCGTAACAATGACGTTCTTTCGAATAATTTTTTTTTTTTCAGGTCGAAAAAAGCATTTCTGATGGATCTACGCGTGTCAAAACACTGTGTTTCCACAGAGTAGGCTCAGCATTAGAATCAATGCAGCATTGCGCAAAGCAGTAATTTAAAATTTAAAATTGAGCTTTTTCCACGGACCATATGCTAAACGCTTCAAATATCGATTGCCATATTTCGTCGACAAGCCTTCCGTCACTGCATGAGTGCATATGTAATTAAATGACTTCAATCTTAATTTTTTTTGGTCTCCATACGCCTCAAATTTTTTACACCTATTTCTTTAAAAGGCAGTTCGTGCCTTAACACTTCGCCGCACAGAATCCTTCACACGCTCGAGCAATGTGCATAACCCGACCTTCTCGATAGTACATACAGGTCGTCACCATTTTGAGTGCTAGTTTTTTTTTGGCAATGTGCGCGTCAGCCTGTGTCGAAACCGTTCGACGTACGATGTCGACTGTATAGTGCCAATTGCACATACCTCGGTGATGCGCATGAGCATGAGTTTTCAATACCGCTTGCTTATCCGGTTGGCAGTTTCTGCGGTCTTTTAGGAGCAATGAGAAAACGACATGAACCTAAAATTGATTATTTTAAAATGTTATAAATACATATGGTAGACTACCGAGATTTCAATTCGAAGGTGCCCCAGCTTCCGAAGAGATAATCACAATTGGTCTTAGTGTCTTGCTGGCCTTTAGAGACTTCCTGCAACCAATAATTATATTTCGATAACTTTTGAGGAGCGGTTGGAGCATTGACATCGTAGGGAGCGTTGGGTTTAATCGCACCATCAGAAATAATGCAAACTTCGACCGATTCAGCTTCATTCTCGCCTTCCTATTTTAAATAAAGATCCGCTGGATGGGATTCACAGGAACCTGACGGGCCGAGTCGGGACAAAGGTGCTTCAACAGGTGCTCAACCGACAATTGGAGGAGCACATCAGAGAGAAACTGCCAGGGATCCGGTCCAACATAATACAGAAGAAATCTAATATCGATGAAAATCTCCAGATCTTGGGCGCTTCCACTTCCAAGACGAGAAGCAACAATGCCTTGTTACATCAGTATGGAATTATTCTTTTCCGTCGACTGTTCTCTGAAAGCAAAAAAAAAACATTTAGATGCATTTTTCCTTTTCTCAGGGTGATGGTAAGGTTCACGAATAGTCTGAGGCTGTGTCTAGAAGGCATTGGCGACGATGTGGACATGAACGAAGTACAGATGGGTGCCGTCATAAATGAGACCATCAATGAGGAGATCATTAAAGGCCTATTGAATGAGGTTGGGAAAGTTTCAACTATCGTTCTTATGAGCAGGGTGTCTCAGATGTCCCTCCCAGTTTCCAGGAATTAAACAAAAATCATCGTAAATCTCACATAAAAAATTTGAATCAACATATTCGTAGCGGCTGAAGTCGAGCGGCGAACTTCCAATGCCGAATTGGAATTTAATATTGTAAATGAATATTGTAAAAGTTCTGCAACGTTACGGGGTCTAGTGCGATGCCCAAGGATCTTGATTGAGAATGGGGTGAAAGTCATTTGACCCGCAATAGGCCAGACGAGAAAACTTTTTGAGATGAGTTTTGCTATGGTCTTCTTGCCATTTCTCTCATCAGTTTTGCATAACTAGAGTGAGAAAACTAGGAAGGACTTTTGGGGCACTCCGAATTTACAATCTGTCACAAACCATAGGATGAAATTGTATGGATTATTTCCCGTCTAGATTGAAACCCAGAAACAAACCTGATAGAATAAAATAATGATAACCTCATTTACACGAAGCCAAAGGCTTACCGAACAAAAGTTTATCATAGAGCACCCGCAAAAAAAAGCATTTACTACCATAGAATATTGATCGTGTTTCGTCTGTCTGAATGATAGCGCTCCGAAAGCCGAATCTCCTAATATTGAGCGGCAAAATTCGCGCGTTTATTCCTCAGCATCTAAGAATTTATCCTTTCATTTGATGTGACATAGCTTCTTTTCTCTGTCTACCTTATTTGGCGAAATGCCTATTTTTCATAAGCGTCATTGGACGCTTATCTTCAGCTGAAAAACTTGAACAATCGTTCGCGTTCACTAACTTTATGGGTCTGGCATTAGACAAATGTTGACAAGTAAATATGTCCACGGGCTCGAACTCAATCAGCGCCCGAGGTCGAGAGTTAAAAGTAAAAAATTGTGACGTGAAATGAATGAGAAACTGGTAAGTCATTTAGAAATTTCTCAATAAATTCTCCCACCCAAGGTGAGAGAGTTCCTAAATAGCAGCTGTCGTGAGTCTCCCGGGTGAGGGTTTCGATTCCTCGACGAGAGACCACTTCAGCTTAATGGGAAGAAAGGGATCCGCGTCCGCGTGGTGGCGTTTCCTGGATAACGCCAAGAGTCCCTTCAACGGATTTTTGTTCTAATACGTGCCGAAAATGACGTCAGTTCGTAAGTTTTTGGCTCATTGCTACCGACCTCGTGCGCCCATGAATGCGCCAAGGTCGTGAATAATTTTATTTCACTCGTGAAGGTCAATCAATTGTAAAGTTGGGTCTTTGGGTCAATTGCGGTCACTTTCCGGTAATTTGGCTTAAGTTAGGCCAATACTGCAATTTCAATCACTCTGGGTGACTGACTAGATTTTGTGAAAGTCCATTTCCCCATCACGTTGGTAGGAGGGTTTCCAACAGTCCAAGCAGGAAATAATCTGCACACTTGCACCAAATGATTTCAGATTTTGTAGACGCCCCACTAAGCCTTAGTCATTGAGAATGATTCTATAGACCAATTTCTTGCAGTTTTCCTTCATGCATCGTTAGCAAATCCTGATTCGAAAATCTACAACGAAACGACGAGGTCATTTTACTGCGGAAGCTCGAATGCACCCCCTCCTCGTTCTCTCTCATTCTCTTTATTCTTTCTTTTTTCCGAAAGTGACGAGTAGATATATGTACGTATAATGCATGAAATGCACGATTCAAGCAAGACTGCATCATACCACAGCAGGTACGAAGGGTAGAAACCAGTCGCACTAAATTGCCTTCTTATGTGGACTTCTCCGAGAGTAAAGCGCTGCTTCCTAAAATAAGGATGAACACGAGATTAATTTGGCCAATGCTAAAAAGTCATAGCCAAAATTCTACTTGTACTGAGCACGTATTCCATGCACTGTCCAGGAGATCCCTTAAAGGAACCCCAAAAAGTAAATTTGGAAAAAAGACGGTGAAAATTTGCACTGAATATTGGTCGACGGAAAATCTACGGTTCACGAAGTTCACTTCGTGATTTAATCGACAGGCCAGGCAATTAATCATACCACCGGACTATGATACCCCTTCCGGCTCTCATTAACTTTCAACAACTTTGACCTGGTTCATTAGCCATTTCGATAAGCGTATTCGCATACAGCGCCTGTCATGAAAGGTTTCACATTGTGTTTGATGGGGAGAAGGAAATTTCCTTGTTGCTTTTATGAGAAGTGACTTCTTTCCTCATTCGAATTCCTGCAGGAGAATCTCACGCCAACGAAGGAGGAGACTATGAGGATCATACGGAACTTGCTTGGAATTGAAAATTACGTAACACCTCCGCAAAAGGTGTTCAGGAGATCGGTGGGTCACATGATCAAAAAATTTCAAGTCCCGATGAAAGTGTCTGTCGAACTCATCGCAGGATACACCGGCAGGGCCGTCGAGAAGTTAGCTTCACAGGTATATTGACAAGCAATAAATAATTTTTAAGAATAATGATTTTTTTTAAAATAAATTTTCCTCGGAAAGGAAAAGCGAAATTCATGAAATTGCATGAAAAGTGGGCATGATTAAGCATTGGAAAAAAAAATCATTTTAATAGGAACTCAGCTCTTTCCCGAACTTGAAACAAGAAGTCCTGATCCGGGTGATGGAGCAATTGAGGCGAAATGAATCGAGCTGCAAGGAACTCCTGGACACGTACCTTGAAGCGGAGTGTGCCTTCATGAACACAAACCATATTTTGATGAAGCGAAGCGATGTTTTGGCCGAAGCCGATCAAAGGTCATTTTGGTCATAATTTTTTAATTTTTTGTTTCCCGCCGTCCTTCATTCTTCGAGAACCTGGATACTTCCTAAAGACATGTTTCCTTTGCAACTTTATTACCTCTCAAGGCAATTTTATTAATAGGACATCGATACTACTCCATTACCTTTTCTTGACAATTATCGGTTCTTTCTTTTAGAATGTTTTCCATTTGAAGGTTGTATTGCTCTGGATCGTTTTCCATCTTGAGACCGAGGAAAAGTACTTTTCGCATAAATGACAAAGCAAAACCGCAGCTAAGATACAAGAATAAAGCACCAAAACGTTTGAATCAAGGGAAAGGCGAGAAACTGCACCCTGTATCAGACAAAATTCCTTGCTGCCTAGCTTTCATGCATTAATTTCTACTCCAGGGAAGCGGAAGAAGCGAAAGTGAATAACGACACAGTTGTCGTGCGGGTACCCACACCCAGGCCCACAACGGTGAGGTCCAACGCCTCCCTTTTTTCATTCTTCTCATAAACGGTTAGTGGAAAGGGGTGAGTGGTTGCATTAAAAGGTGACGGAGAGGATTCATCAAGGGTATCTGCACATCTCCGGTGAATCTATATTCTCGTGGAAGAAGAAGCGGACCTGGGTTGTCCTCACTTCTGTTCATCTCATCGCATTCAAGGACGATCGGGTACCTTCAAAATACAGCCTCTCCCATATTACCTTTCCGTTTCCCATCCATATCCACAAGGTCTGTCCCCGTGAACGCAGGAAGACGTGGAGTTGATGCGATTCAATAATGATGAGATCCAGATTGAGGTGAAGAATGATTCGAAAAAGATCCTGAAGAGATTCACTGTCAATCGAATCGACGGCAGGTCAGCACAATCCTATTCAACTCTCTTGATGTTCACATTCAATTTGACCATTTTTAGAGCTCTCCTTTGTATCGCAGGCCTCTATGGAAAGGACGCACGAAAGATGTAGAGATCATATACGATGGGAATGAGGGGAAAAAAGTCGGTGAAGAATGGGAGTCAAAGTTCCGTGAAGGAGGAATCAATATGGACAACTTAGGGAGCTCTCAATCCATAGCAAGTTCATACTTACGTTTCCGTGGATATTCCAAAATCAGATCGCTCGTCAAAGTCAGAGAAATGTAAAAGAAGCAAAAAGTCATCTAGGCCAGGCGAATTCCCTCTATGAAGCATGCATACCGAACGTGAAGTGATTAACACTTCCCTTGAATCCGCTCCTGATTTGATACGATCAGTTAGGAGCAGGGAGAAGGAGCACAAATGACTGCAATCTCTTAGGAATCTCTAGGTCTGACCTCAACAAAGGAGCTAAGTCTGTGTAATTCATTTGAGGAGTCCAGGCTTTGCTTCCTTGACCAGAAATGGCAAGCATAAGAATAAAATGCAAAGGAATCAAGCTCTCTTCCTCGAGTCTGCTGTCGTCTACATGTTGGCTCACAAACCGCATTGCGTTATTTCTTACTGAAGAAAAATTATTTATATTTTTAAAAAGAGTAGGGCTTTACGGCCTTTTTTTTACCTGCTATTTATCACTATTGTAAATAAAAAAAGTCTGGCTGGTATAGAAACCTAATGCAATTGTAATCGAATAATTAGTCGCCTAATCGAATCGAATTAACAACCACACTTGTAAATTTGTGAATTTTGGAAGTGGACCTTGAGATCATTAGTTCCGTTTCAGGTCGAAGTAGCATATACAGGGTGGCGCGAAAAAAGTGAACTTCTATTATAAATCACCCTACTCATTGTCAAACTACACAACTTGACGTTAGATACTGTTACGGTGCTACGGGGTTGTAGACCGTTATGTCCCAGTTATTAATCCCGCCGGATTAACGAAGGACTCTGATGACCAGACTTAGTATTGCACCTTTCGCTCGCGGGGTACTTGGTGTCAGCCTCAATTGACCTTCCTTGGCTGATTACCGGTCTCGGAGGTTCGGGACTTTGTGGGTCCGGTTGGAAATAAGAACAAGTGGGAGTATCTAAATTCTAAGCTAAAAATCTCTCCAGAGCCACTTTAAGAACTTTAAAATGGCCTTCTCGTGCGAGATCGCGGCTTTTTGCTGACGATCACCGCGAGAAAGCCTGCAATCTGTTCTCATAGAAACCCATACTGAATCTCCTGTTGACATTCATAAATATCAATATATCATTTGTACCCTCGCAGCAATCGAATCGTCTCGCATCATCTGCGAATGAGTTGCCAAAACCCTCAGAAATAAGGCTATACGTCATTTGCGTCAGATCTACATGGCGTGCATCACCTTCCTGAAAGGGTCCGTCACTTGTGCCAACATGACGGTATTTGATGGTGTTTGTGTTCACTTTCCATGACTGCATTGAAAATCATTATTCATCTAGCATCCCTGCAGTTGACGAGTGAGAAGCCTCCATTTATCATCTTGAAAATTAACTTTGGGGTCTGACTGTCGAGTGCAAGCATTGTGCCACACATTACACATTAGTGCAGGCGTTCGAACTTTCTCTGACGGCATAAATCTTAGGCACCGAGAAAGAGAACCTTCTCAGAGGCTCGGACGAGCAGAGCTTCTTGCGATTTTGCACCTGGAATGCATTCCGTCATATGAAGCTGTACCCGCGCACCACTGAAAGACCAGACTTCAAAGATTCCAATGCCCAACTCTTCCTGTTTGCTTTTAGTTCTTCGATGATCCGTGTTTGGACGAATACGGCAACCTGCAAAACGACCAGTACACGCCACACCGATGGTCCCTCATTCAACCCCGTAAAATCGACTTTGCTAAAGTTAGTACATGATTTATTTTCAGTCAAGGCAAAATAATTAAATTCAACGTATGTTGTCGTATACATATTTGTATCCCAACCTGACCAGAAATTCGAGACGGACATCACGCTGAACAAAGATGCAGAATTCGTCCTGGAAAAGATCCTTCATTACATGCGGATCGTGAAGCAGAACATCCAGGACCTCACGCCAAAGTACATCGTCCTCAAGTTGATCAAGAAGGTCATTTTCTTCATATCTACGAGCGTTTCACTTTCGAATGGTCATATGAACGTTATGCATAATATATTCCTTGACTTATGTTTCTCCTCAGCTATTGATATACATATCGGAGGAGCTCGTAGTGGAAATCCAGGAGAACAGTGATATTGTGAGTTTCGTAGGAGAATACCGAGTTGAAGTTTATGTTATTTTAATCATGTGTTCTGGTTTGAAATTGCAGGACAAGATAATGGAGAGAGGAGGAGACGAGGAAATGAGGATGAGGGCACTGCAGAGTGAATTAAAAAGGATTGAAGAAGTCCTGAAAATAATAGAAACCATCAAATGGCCCAACATTCACCCCTATGATTGACCATCTCCTTCCGTTATTCAAATTTTCTACTTTTATGAACCTGAATTGCCTTCCTTGCTTTATCAAATATACTCAAGCCTCTAGGTGAGCCTCTATCCTAAAATATACGCAAACATTTACTCATGTAAGCATTCCATTAATGCACTCATTCGGGAGCTTACAAAATATCCAATATTCGAATGAGAAATCCACAACTTCCAACAACTACCATCCATGCGACACCTTTTATTTGTGAAACGTGCTTGAAATTCCTTTCTAGAAGAATATAAAATTACTCTCTTCCATTTGTTTTATATATACTTTTGATGCATAACACAGGACAAAATCTTGTTAAAAGATGATGACATGAGGGCTATCGACGTTCGCTGAGAGGGAGCAATACCTTGGTTGTTTCTTTTAAAGAACTTATGTCCGAATATCTAAATGCTCACATTTGCAAAACCCTCTGGACAGGTGATGAACATAGTGTCAAGTATCGTGGGATCCGTTGTCAAACACTGGTGGGGTCAGCCATGTTTTTGAATGATTCCGTGGCGGTGAATTTCAAATCCAGAGTGCAATGCGTACCTAATTCTGGGACCAGGATGAGAATTGGATCGATTTGACCTGTACGTGGCCCAGAGGACGTTTTTGGCTTTGCTACGTACGTCTTGGTTTCACATATGGCTAGTCTGACGACGACCTTTCAGTGAAGCGACATCAGAATACTATTCAATGACGTTTCCTGATAGACGAGAAAGAAGACGTTCTACACCGTATACTGTAGGTTTCCCAGGTTCGTACCTTGTGCACCCTGGGTATTGTGACTACCGCAGGATTCACACAAAGGGAATCATAGAGAAGTGCTGAAGCGATTGCCAGATACCGGAACCTTAGCTCAAAATCGAGAAAACCGGAGATGGAAGCAAGGGAAAAGGATTATCGATATTCCTAGACAGATGCGATGGGCAAACTGAAAGACAATAAGACATCTTAGGAATGAAGGTGATCGAAAATTAAGTGAATCTTGTCATTAGACGACAGGTGGAACGAGAGAAGGAGCGTACAGAACACTAAGAGAAATCCCCCAGCGTCTCCAAAAGCAAGCTGAGCAAGCCCAGGCCAGAAGTGGGCCTCCTTTCATTTAAGGAAACTCTCTTTTTTTTCACCTAATTAAACAAATGCCATCTCTTTCCGGTCTTCGACAATCAAAACCTCATTTCTCATTTATATTTGGTAAACTTAGACAAACGGTGCCCATGAAACGATGATGGGAGGATGGAGGGCTGCGCGTGGTTGGATGCATCCACCACATAGGTTGGTGGGTAACTGACAGCTCTGGCTGCTGACACGGCGCCGCGCCCGAAGCCTGGGTCGTATGCGCATGCGTATTGCAATCCTAATCCTGAAGGGCTCACGGGTACTCATGCCTTCCCCTCCGAGACCAAATTTCAAATCCAAAATTTGCAATAAAAATACCAGTTTTGGTGCAAATTCGCCACAAAACGATCTCAGCCGGAACTCTGTTCATATCTACCCGCTAGCCAATTTTCGCATTGATTTTTTTTAGTTACCGTCCGACAATCAAAGTGTGACACACGGACACACTGGACGGACAGGGCAGGCACATAAGTGGTCTCTTTCCTTTCAGAAAAGGAGGCCCATAAAAAGAGGAAAACTCTCGGCAGGGAAGTTGAAGTCCATCCGAGAAAAAAGGAATCTCATCCTTCATGGGACCGAACAATTCGAAGGAGAAACCACGACAATAAAGACACTCGTGAGGGACTTCTTCAAAGCGGAACTGCAGATTCCTGATAAAACACGCATCGGAAATCATTCCGGACGGGAAGAAAGAGAAAGGAAAGGCCCATTTTCCTCGAAGTGGGACAAGAAGAGGATAAGAATAGGATCTCAAGAGCAGGCGGTTCCAGCGAAGATAAGGTGCTCAAGATTTCCCCCCAAGAGTTAAAGAGAAGAGGAGACTGATGCCGTTCTGATAGACGCCCAGAACAAGAACACGAGAGCTAAACTCCAAGAATGTCAGTTAAGGTAAACTGACCCTCACTGTCAGACAATGCCAATTTTTATTACCCAGTGAGTTCGGTTTTTAGAAATGAAAATTTTCTATCATAATCCTGAGAGCGACAAACCACAGACCATGCTAACTGACGGTTTTTCGAATGAGGTATCCAAGTTCTTGCCCAAGTCTGCTCTTGGAGGCATCACAGGTTTTTTTTCTTTAAATTTACATCTTAGAACATGAATGCAACCCTGATGAATGAAAGGTGGAAGAAACACATAAGGGTAAGGGGGACAAGGAATGCTCCAATAAGTACTGAGGTATAGCACTTTCACCATAAATCGCGAAGCTGATCGCAAAAACATTGCATGAGCGAGTAAGGAGATGGGCACGACAAGACTCTCGTTACAAGCGGCTTTCCGGTCAAGCTTTTCCTCGACGGATAGTTTTCATCCTGGGGACATTTATTATCAAATATTGGGCGAAGGAACGCGGCATACTCTAAGTAAAGGCTTTATTGATTTCGGAAAAGCATTCGATTCCATTATTCGGAAAGTTCTAGGGCCTAAATTAGCATGGATCGGAAAAGGTCGCCATATACTGCGAATTTTGCTGTTCATGCATGAATAAGTTCCTTCCATTGTGAATATGAAAGTCGGCAAGGTCCCTATCATCTCGCCGATTGACGATTCCTCGAGTTAAAATTCACAAACTACTCAACTCGCCGAAACATCATTATTGACTTCACATATCGCTGCAACAGCAAGGCACCCAAGTGGGAGACCCAGAGGACAAGCCTCATTTCCGTCAGTTCTGTGGAATGTTCGCGATCGTGTCCTGGCTAAAGAAGCTCGGACGAGCGATTCTGTCGAAGCTTCTCAGCGTCGATGTCTCTCATTCAAAGATCCTCCAAACATTTACAGTTTCCTCGACGCGATTGGAAATGAGCTTGCCAAGACAGACAAGGAAACAGCTCAGCTCGCAGTTCGGACTCGACCGAGGAAACACCACAGACTTGAAGGATAGGACAAGCGACTGAATCACGGATGAACATGATACGTAACCCACCCTTGACTTCTTGAAGTAGTCACCCACCTTATTCACTATTGACTCTCCTCTGCCAGGCACAAAAGTACTTGGACTTTGAAATTTGAATGGTACAATGTAAAATAGTCAAACTTTTCAATGAATTTGTTAGGTGAATTTGCGTTTGATGAAACGTATTCGGCAAAGTTTCATTTGGCGAAGAGGCACTTCAAGAAATGGTTTTGCGAATAGTACTTGTTCCGTGAAAAGTCTGCCACCCTCCCACCATTATTGTATACTAATCGAAAGGGGACAAAATGTTCTACTCGCACGTGGATTTTCATTCGTGAACAATCGTGTCCGACATCCTCGTAAGAGAAAGCAGATATACCCGTTTCCTGATATGATAAGAGAGCGATTCCCGGAAAGCATTCTCATTCATCCTGACCCATATAATGGATCCAAGGCCGCGTCGTTTAGAATGGTTGTTTTACTCGTTGAAAAGCTTTCCCGGATCTTTTCATTTCAGAATGAATAAGTAATCCCCATAGCACTGTTCTGTTCTGAACGATGACGAATTTCACCGTTTATGCAGCCTACCACCGCTTCCCCGTCATTGTAAAATGGGAATCACTGCAAGAAGGCTACAGTTCTACACGTACGCATGATGTACAGCATTAAGAAACTGTGTAGGACACCTTCATGCAAGGAGATTTGACGCTAGATCTAGCTAGTAGAATAAATTATTTACACGTATTTCTAGAACGGAAATTCTCATGTATACATATGTCGTGGGGTTTTGTAGAATTCAGGGGGATTTCGAATCAAGATACATAGAATAACCAAGATAGGCCCGAGTGGCTCACGCGCCTGACGGCGGAGGAGGGAGCGCAGTTACTGGAGGCAGCGTGCATGTGCGTGAAGTGAGACCATGCAGGGATGGGACCTGCCTTCAGCTCGTCTCCATAGAGTGCGGGCTCGCTAGAGGTTCATCGCAGCTCCTATGATTTTTCGGATGATGCGTCATAACTGAATTTCGAATCAATTTTCATTTAATCGAAACTCAGGACGCAGTTTTCCGAAATCATCCATGATATGACCTTGGTGCCCCATAAGATTGAGGACTTCAAGCTGAAGTCCCGGAACACATTTTATGAGTTTGCTGAACCAGGTGGCCAAGGTGGTTAACGCAGGAAGTGGGGCTTTGAGTTATTCGCGAACCTACGTGAAAGCTTTGGGGGGGGAAGCTCTGAGGCGCGAAGCCTACACCAATCCGCTGTGATCCTAACTCTTCGGCCTCTTACCTCCCCTGAGGACTTGTAATTGAACGGTAGAAAAGTGTCCTTCAATCAAATCTGCATATTCAATTTTTCACTTGTGACATGGACAATTCAACAAGTTTAATTTGAAAATTTTTCACTTCCTTTTTAAGTTCCAGGTTTTCTGTCCTGAGTCGCTGTAATTTTTATTTCAGTCCTGAAATAATCTTGATTTTAAGTCTCAATTTCTCTTTTATTTCAGAAGAGCAATTCGATGGAATTGAGTGACCTGTTGCTTGCATTTAAGATTTACTTTCCCCCTTTACTGGCCTCTCAATGTGAACTTGACCTTTCTCAAGGTGCAGAGGTGCAGCGAGACATAGTGGAACAGATGATTTCTTTAGAACCTTGTTCTTTTGATTCCCATCATAATCAGTGAAGAGAAAATGATTCGAGCAAACAAAGCTAATTGCTTCATTCTGTAAATCTGTTCGGCCACAAGCCGACAGCCATTCCCCTCGAACTATTTCATTTTTCTGAAACTCTATGGAAGGTGATGGAAGGATCATGATTCGTGTTCCTCCATGTATTTTTGCAGCTGGATACAATGCAAGATTGTCCGCTGCTTCTGCCCATTTATTTTCTTGCCATCAAGAGAAGTAGCAGCTAGACGAGAGAAAAGGAAAAACGCAACGAGGGGAAACAAAACAGGAGAACAGAAACGAATAACGAAAAATAGATTGTCAGAGTGTCTAGTGCCTGCGGCGCAGGCAGAGAGAGGGTTATAGACAAAAAAAAGTCCGACCTCCTCAAGAGCTCGATAGGGA